TACAAATTTAATGTTTTTATTTAAAGGATATGGATACTTGGGTGTGTGCCTCAATCGACTCAATTATTGATAATTTGTGGTACTTGCTTGCAAAAGATGCAATAGCCAGATGGATATTGATTACGGTGATAGCAGTGCACCAAGTGCAGTAACACACGTGGCATTGCACGGTTGGAACAACATTTTTTATGTTTGTCTTTTCGCATATTATTATATATAGTTTACGTTTTTTTTTTTAAAGGTACAAGATTCAATTTAGAGTCGCTGATTGTACTGCAAGTGCTGTCTTCATGTGCTGGGATAGAGAGTGTGAAAGGATGATTGAAAAATCTTGTGAGCTTCTAAAACGTGAAATTTCTGTGCTAAATGTGACTTTTATTAACAAATATATATATATATATATATTTATGCTTTAATTCGAAATTTAATTTTTATTTATAATTCTTATAATTATTATTACTATTACTATTTTTTTGTAGAATAAAAGTGCTTTTGAGCTGCCGGATGATCTAGAGGACTTGGTTGGGAGAACCTTTCTTTTCAAGGTCCGAATCAAAGCAAATAATAATGAAAAAAAGGGCTATTCATCCACTTTCTCCATTTTGAGAGTTATTCTTGATCCAAATTTGGTTTCCAAGTACAACCATTGGGTTGTAGAGATTGATGTAAGTTTGTTAAATTAGATTTAACAATTTAATTATGTTCCTTTCGTATACAATACATGATTTTAAAAATAATTATTATGCTTCTTCTTTATAGAACTCGGATTTTATGACTCTTTTACAAAGGGAGGAAGCTACTAAGGTTAGTATAAATACTTATAATTAAATATTAATTACATTTACTTATAAGTTAAGTTTAGGATTTCTTTCAAGTTTATACTTGACTTTATTTTGAATAGGACGATGATGAAGAGGAAGTTATTTCACCGCTTAAGACTCTTCGAGCTATTGAGCATGTTAGTGACACATCCAATGCAAAACGCAATTTGATGGATGAGTTTGCTATTGACCCTGAGGCTGGACAAGCTGAATCCGTGACGAGCAAGAAGGGCAAGGAGAAAGTTGATGACTATGGGAACTTACTCCCCAATGATGAAGGAAATAATAATTAGATGTTTAGTTTTGATTTAGAAAACAATTTTATTATGGTTTTTTTTTTTTTTTTTGGATTGTTTTGTTTTTCGATTTTTTGGTTGGTTTAATAATGTTTTTGATATTTGGAACGAATAATTGCAACTTTGTGTTGCCTCTTGGTTGATGTCTCTAGGAAACATATAGTTTTCGAGATTTCGATCCTTAATAATAAGTTTATTTTCCCATTATGTTATTATGTGTGTTTATATAGATTTAATTTCATTATTCGTAAACTTCACTTATTTAGTTTTTTTTAAAGTTGAACACGTTCCTACCCTTATGTGCATTAACAAAAGTACATATTAAGTACTAAATAAATCTAATAACTGCTCTAATTTAAATATATCGCTAAAAACTTATTATATAATTTTTGACGTCACATTTTTTATTTACTAATTTCGAATAACAAAATCTATTGATAATAAAGTACTTTTTGAAATACGAATAATAAATTTATAAATATTATTACTACGCATACATATCATCGTAGAACATGGAAAACGAACTATAATTTTATAAATATTATTTATAAAATATCGAATGGATTATTGTGGTCAGTATACTTAATATAATCGTGAATTTGAGACTAATTACGTAGAGTGATTCACTTTTCTAATGTACAGAATTATTTATCTCAAACGTATATTTAGTTTCCAAAAAATCTGTGAAATCGGATATACTTCTAAAGATATGGTCAAATACCTAAAATCTCTTATAAANA